GTGTGTGTGTGTGTGTGTGTGTGTGTGTGTGTGTGTGTGTGCGTGTGAATGGGACAGGAAACCTGAGCATGCTACGCTGTTAGCCCACACAAATGCAGTCAAATGCATGTGCTTCTTTTTGTTGGTGTCAAATTTAATTAGATATTTCGGCCAAAATTGCCCAAATATTCCAAAAAATGCAAGAGGACAAAATCCCATAGAGCAGATTGTGATCAAAAGAAAAATTCCATTTTGAAGGATCGGGATAATCGCTGATTATGGCTTACATCTTAAGAAACCCAAATATCCTATCTCAAAAAATATTAGAATATCGGATTTTTGAGTTTTCTTCAGCTGTGAGCCATAATCAGCGATATTAAAACAATAAAAGGCTTGCGATATTTCAGTTGATTTGTAATGAATCCAGAATGTATGACATTTCATGTTTTTTAATTGCATTACAGAAAATAAAGAACTTTATCACAATATTCTAATTTTCTGAGACAGTCCTGTATATGTTTTATATACTTTTTGGTTTTCCTTTTGGCAAAAAGCTCCTTCATTGAGTGTCCTCTTACACCTGGACAGCTGCATCCATCCCAACCTTTCTCCCCCTCTCTCCTCCTCCAGGTCATCGAGGAGATCGTGGAGATGATGGAGAACTCTCCGGATCCCGGGGAGACGGAGGAGGAGGATGAGGAGGAGGTCAGCCACTCTTCCTCCCGCACCAGCCCCTCCCTGCTGGAGGAGATCCGGCAGCTGTCCCAGGCCTCCAACAACAACTGCTCCTACGAAGGTAAAGCTTAAAGGAGACAGTTAACTTTAACCCTTTAAAGCCCCATCCAAGAACAATAGGAAGAATATTGGATTTTTTTTAGTCTGAAGTCATTCTTTGGCCCCTCAACAACATATGAAGAAAAAAAAACAGAAATTATTTTGATCAAATTAGCGTGCAATAAGTCAAAAATAAAAATAGGAAGAATATTGGATTTTTTTAGTCAGAAGTCTTTCTTTGGCCCCTCAACAACATATGAAGAAAAAAAAACAGGAATTATTTTGATCAAATTAGCGTGCAATAAGTCAAAAATATATTTCCGTTTAGTCTTCTACTGGCTGTTATCAGGTATATCTGAATGTGAACAACAGGGGTTTGAGCAAAGCTTTTACCACTGAATGATGCAAAAAGAGGGTGGTGGTTAGCACTGTTGCCTCCCAGCAAGAGGGTTCTGGGTTCGAATCCCGGGGGAACCAGGGCCTTTCTGGGTGGAGTTTGCATGTTCTCCCTGTGTCTGTGGGTTCTCTCCGGGTTCTCCAGCTTCCAAAAACCTGCATGTTAGGCTGATTGGAGATTGGGGAAATTGCCCTTAGGAGTGAATGTGAATGTGAGTGTGAGTGGTTGTTGGTCCTTGTGTGTCTCTGTGTGGCCCTGTGATGGACTGGCGGACTGTCCAGGGTGACCCCGCCTCTCGCCCGTTGACCACTGGGATAGGCTCCAGTTCCCCCCGCGACCCCATGAGGGAATAAGCGGTATTGATAATGGATGGATGGATGATGCAAAAAGTTGGAAACCTGAGAATGAACCAGAGTAGATCAAAAGTACAAATATGGAATTTATTGGTCACAAGCAAAGTAAATCAGCTGGGCTCTAACAGACAAAAGTTCCCGGAGGATCTCAGTTGGCAAAGAGCCTCGATTTCCGGGTGTTTGGACAGTTTTCCTCTGGGAGGACGTGCTATTGGCCAGTTAGGACAGGAGGACGTGCTATTGGCCAGTTAGCTCTGACTTGAACAGGCCAGGTCCTAATTCATGCAGGTTTTGGTGGAATGTGATAAGAAAGTGTGGATGTTGAGCTTGAAGACGAGTATCTACTGTAACAGAGAGAGGAGGAGCCAGAGAGTTTAACCCAAAAGTATCATTATAAAGGGAATAATATCAATCTAAAAAGGAATAAGACAATCAGTCATTTACATGGATTAAGACAGTTATAACATAATATACTAAAGTGAGTAATTATAGCCCAATTCTAACATATCCCAGCTTTAGAAAAGGCACCCAAACTCACACAACGTTCAGGTTTTAACGCCGTAAAAGTGGAACCAATCCCTGTGTTATGTAACAGGTTTGCTCCTTTAATTAGTCTGTAACGGGAGATGGATCAGCCGGTGAGAGTTCAAGAGGACGCCGTGTTTTCCGCCATAAGGTTTCCCATCTGTGAGTTTATTCTGGGTCAGTGTGGTCACTCGATCAGAGGCCCAGAAATGTGTTGGGACCTCTGTGGGAAAAGGGAAACGTCCAGGTGCTGCTGAGCCCGAAAAGAGGAGCCGTTTGAACACACGAAGCTCTAATTTCCTCTCATTTTTGGAAATAAATTAAAGGAAAATGTTTAAATAGACAGATTAAATGCTTTTTCGACACAGCTAAGACGACCTGACGCGGTCAGAATTAAAAAAAAAGGAAAGTCACAATACGTTTTAGGCACCTAAACGGTTTGAGTCCACTAATCTTTGATAAAACCGAGTTAATTAGAGTCAAATGGAGCTGGATGTTAAAGGGTTATTGGTAACTTATTGGATTGTTATACATTTTTAAACAGAGCTAAATGGCTGTGCTATTTAATGTTCATGCATTAAACATGAGTGCTTTTCTAGCTTTACATTATAAAATGATTCAGTTTAATGTATCCGGTTAGGGTTAGAAAACGTCTGAAATGCTGATTGAGGCTGTTTTTGTGCTATTCAATGAGCTGAGGCACTGTGTGACGATGATCTGATAACGTCATCCAGAAAACATTATTTCAGCCTCCTGCTGCTCAGGAGTTTTTCCCACCCAGTCTTTGCATTTTGACTCAGTTTTTGTAGAATCATGACACTTTTACGCGTGGGAATTAGACGTCTGCGAGCTGAACATTGAGTTTAGTTCACGGTTTTGAAGCAAATGCAAAAAGTATCGATACAAAAATATTGTATCCGGATACGATACTCATTTTCAAAAGTATCGATACCTCCCCCCTTCTCTCTGATTCATTTATTTACGTTGTTTATGATCATTAACGTGACGTTAGCCTTGAATTGCTAGCTGCGGCTAATGGCTAATAATAACACGCCAACAGTAATCAAGTCTGTAGGAAGCCAAGGATGGAGATCCAAAATAGTCTAAAATAGTGGATGTTAAATAGGTTTGTACAATAAGTCCTAACAAGTTTAACCAAAAAAATATTTATTACAATAATGAAGGGTGGAGGGTTAGGGTTAGGATTAGGTTTAGGGTTAGGGTCATTAATATGGGCCACCGGCCACAATAACATCAGAAACCAAAGACACAAACCTGTCAAAATTCTGTTACATTTTGGGGTCTTTGTTTTTATCCTCGTGGTATCGAAAATGGCATTAAGTATTGAATATTTTCCTGAGTATCAGTGTCAAGTTGAAAATGTTAGTGTCATGACAACCCTAGTTTGTGGACTCTGCTTTCCCATCTAAACTTTTCTTTTCTTTTCTTTTCTTTTCTTTTCTTTTCTTTTCTTTTCTTTT